GTTAGGTTAAGACACTTTCTGGGCCGAGCGCTGCGGCTAGGATGGGCTAGGGGGCTGAGCGCTGCGGCCACGGGTTAGGTCAAGTTAAGACACTTCCTGTCAGACCCATGTACAAAATTGATAGGAGGGGGGGGGGTTTAAAAAATCGTTCTCTAGGAATATACCGAACTTCTTTCTTGATAAGTCATTGGACCAAATTTAATGAATAGCGTGAAGTAGTTGAATTATGTGTAGACAAGTTAAACCATTTCTCTTTTATTATAAACCGGTTCGAGAGAAGTGGTTCATAGGACTGGTCAACATTCCGTTAGAGAACGGCAGTTTTTGTGTTAAAAATTTACGGAAAAGTTCCGTTAAAGTACAGAAAACCCGTTAATTTTCAAATCGAACTAATTGAAATTTTTTAAAATATTTAAATAGCACTGACGACATAGTTACTTTCTAACGTGATGTTTTTTATTGACAACTTGTATATTTTCTGAAATGTAAATTTGAAACCTATCATTAGTTAAAAGATTAACTTTCGTTAACGAACTAACCAATCGTTAACGGTAAAGTCCGTGAATGAATAATGGTTAAATCTACCGGTAAAGCCACAAATTAATCGAGATCTTTAACAAAGGGAAACTTATTAACTACTGAAAAAAACCCGTTTTCAAGTTCAGTTATAAACTGAAACGAATGGCTTCTTGATGATCCTGTCCGTTAGGTTTATTCTATTATCATTTATTGCCATTAATTTTTGCTTATTTATCTCACCGTCAAAACGAAGAGATCGAAATAAGTTCGAATGTGCCCAGTCCTAGATTTAGGTTTGCAATTTTTCTCGCTTTCCATTTAATCTGGCTGCTGTCGCCGCCTCTTTTTTGAGATAAATATACCATACCTGGCCGGTCAAAGTTGAAAGGTGACTTTAGTTTAGTGTAGTTTTTTGTGATTCTTGTGATAGTAAAAATATGGCAGATTTAATGCATAAACGTATGAATAAGATAAAAGATGGGTTCTTTGTTTTTTTGATGGGATCGCATTTTTCATTTTTTGTTATATTGATTAAATTCTTTAATTTTTTTTTAAAATTTTATATTTTATCTTTTTCTCTTGTCTTTTTTATTCATTCTTTGACATTTTTTGTAATTTTTTAAAATTTTTTTGACATAGATTTTTTTCTTTTTTTGCCATATTTATCTAATTTACATTAGCATATAAAGACAGTTACTATCGTCATTATAAATTAAAAACATACAAATTATACAATTTTTGGTTAAGTTTGAAAGAAGTATTTATCATTTCTTTGTTTAAAACTGAAAACAGAGCTTGCATCTTTAATTCTAGAATCGTCTATGGCATTTAAAAAACTGAATTTTCAGTGAATCGTTTATGGCATTTTAACATATGTTCGCTCAAATTTACATTGATAGTCCCTTTTTTCATAACAGTCTTGATCTAATTATTTTGTGTTTAGGCTAAAGTAGAACCTGGTCAAGAATCATTGTCAACCAACCCAGGATCTACACCTGACCAGAACACAACTGCAACATCTACTCCTGACCAGAATACAACTGCAGTCCTCAATCCAATGTTTTCAAAAACGTAATTTCATTCTTTTTTTTACATCGATACAGAAATAATAGAATGTGTTACCATACTATTTTATAAAACAGGAAACAGAGAATCTACTTAATTTTTCCTGAAAGATCTGGGCTTTGAAGTTTGTTGTTATACTTTTAATATAGAAGTTAATTGAGTTTTTATTCATTTTTTTTTGAAGTTTTGAATACGAATATATTATATCATATTGATGATTTAAAATGTTGTATTATATGAATCTATTTTTTCAGTGAACCAGCAGAAGGAAACCCAGTAAAAAAGGTAAAAATATGGCGAATTATCATTTTTATTTGAAAAACCTTTTTTTGTGAGATGAGAGAGGTGGGGGGGGGGGGGGGGTTAATTTTTGGGTAAACCGTTTAAAAATTGGGATTAGGAGACTTGATCAAATTAACTTATTGTTTTAGGTCCCAATTTTATTGGAAGTTCTGAGTGTTTCCTCTTTCAACTTCATCCTCAGCTAAATATATATGATTCTACCCCATTTAACACTAATTATCAGGTACTACAGGAATCTACTGTATTTAAAGGAACAT